CCACAGCTGGTACTTGGTCCGAGTGGAGTGTTGCAGGGGATTCGCCCAGGGAAGTGTTATGTGGATATGTCCACTGTGGATGCAGATACAGTCACAGAGCTGGCCCAGGTAATCACACTGAACTGAACTTCTAGTGTCTGCGATTCAGGAACAGTACTGCAGTTTTTGTTGCTTCAAGTGGTAAGCTGTTGATAATGAAGATGCTTCTGAAGGCTTTTGGGCTTCTTTTAGGAGACACTCAAGTCCCAGGCAAATAAAACAAAATAAACTTTCAAATCTTGACCAGAAAACTAAGTTGCATGAGATGTTCCCTGATGATAGCAGCAAAGCCTGTAGAATTGACAGGGCTATTAGCTGGCACCAATGCAGCCAGCCAGCCAAATTTTGGTCTCTTAAGTATTTATAGCCAGATTGGTATTGTGTAGCAAACTGGAGAAGAAAGCACTGTCTGGATTAATAACTGTCCTAAAACTGATAAAATGCACCATCTGCTTATTTTATATGTTCTGGCTGCGGGAAAAAGAATGCCTTCATGTTTCATTCTATACTGTTATTGAGAAGATTTCTGTAGAATTGTTCTGATTATTTCTGATGTGGTATCTTTGATTTCCTCTTTGGCATCTTGGTTGTTATCCTCTGCCCTAAAGGCAGTGTGTGGTGTTGCACAAGGAAGGGCAGCTAGTTTTGGTGAAGTTTTAAGCAGACATATTGGTGATGCGCTAGTTTGAAACATGAATTTGGAGAATGGAGAGCCATACATATTAGTAAACCTCTGAAGAGATCTGTCAAAGGCCTTTCCTCTTTGGGGAAAAGGGGAGAAGCTCTATAACAGTCAATCTTCTGAGATTCCTACACCACATGTACAACTTCAGCACTTGTTCCTTGGCTTGTTACAAGGTGCTATGGCAAAAGCACATAAGTTCAGCTGCTTAAAACGTGCACAGTAGTGATGGGTGCAGGAAAGTGTTGCTCCAGCAAGTTGCATGAGAGCAGTACATCACATGATAGTGCTTCCCTGTCCTATTTGTATGTCTGAACTATTTTTTCTGCTTAAAATTCCATCCTCAGGGACAGGAAT